GGGGGCTGAAGAGCTTCTTCAGGATGATTTTAACAGCAAATAATGGCAATTTTCCCCATTTTTAGTGATTCTTTTTGGTTTTGTTTTTGGCCACCGCTTGCATTGGGGTGCAAGGTTGCATTGCACGCGGCGAGGGTTGCAAAGGGGCTGAAGTCGCTGCAATATTTCTTTGCCCTCTGTTTGCACCAGTTTGTTTGTTTATTTTTTTTTTTAATGTATTCAGTGTGTTTTAGCAAGATGCCGGGTTGCGAAGAGCAGGTTTTGCCCCAAAATACCAGCAAAAAAGAAACAAACAAACAAAAAAAGGTGAAGAAATGTGTTTGCGGGGTGGAAACCCCAGCATTTTACGGGGTGTTTGCAAAACAGGGAGAGAAATTAAGAATATTGGGGAGGGTGATCTCAAATCCGTTGGTGTCACCACCTGATGCTGATTTTTGGGTCACTTTTCAGCCAAAATAAGCACCGGCGAGAGGAAAAATCACTTGCAAAGGGTGGGAGAGGTTTAAATTTGAAGCTTTGCAATAAAACAACCCCCCAAATTGTTGGGAATTTTGAGCTGGAAACACTAATAGGGAAAAAAAAAACCATTTTCCTGCTTTTTTCTTGTCATTTCTGATTGAAATTCTTCTCCCTATCCTTTCTGGGATAGTTTCGCAGCGGGTGAACTTTGCAATTACTTTGCAAAGCATCAAAAGGTGGAGATTGGGATAAGCATCGAACTGGGGAGGTTTTGGGCAATAAATGAGGCATTTTCGTTGCTTTTTTGGGTCTGTTTGCAAGAAATCTTTGCAAAAGAGGCTCTATTTTTTTAATTTAAGTGCTATAATTCTGATTTTTTTACTCATTCCACCCCCCCCCTCCCTTTTTTCCCTGCATTTGTGCTTCGCACGGCGCGAGCTGGACGAGGGATGGATTTTTTTCCGGTTCGTCGGCGATGTTGAAAAGGAAAATAGAAAGGAAAACGGCGGCAGTTTTCCAGGCCTTTGGGTTTTTACTGGAATATTTGCGGGATATTTGCCCAGAGGAGCCGTTTCGAGGTGAAAGAGGGAAACACTGTGTCCAGGAAGAGCTTTTCCCAGAAGCTGATGCCTCTTGAGAAGAGTTTATATAAAAAATAATCACAAAAGCTCCTTGAATCTTGAATTTTCATGGATTTTTTTTTTTTCCTGTGAAAACCCATTTTTTTGGATTTTTTTTTTTTGGGGGGGGAAAAAAAAATCCATATTTTGGCTTTTTTTAGGGGGAAACCCCCAACTTTTTGCTATCGTTTCATTCCCACCGCTCGCCGAGCCACCCCTTATTGCCACCTCCGCCAACCGCAGCCGCATCAAAACACCCAATTTGGGGGGAATTTTGAAGATGCAGGATAATTTTGCCTCACCGGAGCCCTCATTCCCACATCAACGCCTTCAAATCTCCGCAACTGATTCCTTGGAAAAACTGGGAAATAAACCACTCGGCCCTTAAAACACCGGTAACGCGCCGCACCGACCCAATTAGGGCTGGGGGAAAAAAACCTTCCCTTGCAGCAAATATTTGCTGGGGTTTTTTTTAATTATTATTTTAAAGGACTGGGATCTGGGGGAGAAAACACCCCTGCTTTGCTCTGGGGACCGCGCCGCTCTCCCCGGCATCCCGCGCGCTGGAAAGAATCTGAATTAATTCTATTTTTTGGCCAAGGTGATGGTGGAAAATCACCCAGGTGGTGAAATCAGCCTCGAAACCGCAGTTGGGATGTGGGACCGTCGGCTGGAGGAATTAAGGAGGAGTCGGAGGAAACTCTCGGGAGACAAAAGCTGATTCTTATTTCTATCCCCCCCCCCCATCCCTTATAAATAGCTCCGGGGTTATTAATAAGGAGGGATTAACGTGGTGGGGATGCGGAGAGGAGCAGGAGGGATTCCCAGGGTAAATCCTGGCTGCATCCCTGCTGTGATATTATGGATTGATTGATTTATTTATTTTTTAAATTTATTTTGCAAACCCCTATATTTTGGGGAAAAAAAGG